AAGGTCTACTGAGACTCAAACTCTCCCGAGACCTCAAGTGGAACTCATAAAAATGATCTATTGCTAAAGAAACTGGTAAAATGGTAGGTTCATTATCCAGTAACTATCTGACTCCGCCTGCTATATTTTATACTTACAAGAGACAAATCAACCCACAAAGGTGTGTATTGCTGCCATCTCTAAACTGGAGCTGCCGATTCGTTGCTTGCCGGTTTTGAGTTCAAAAGCATCTAACTTGTCTTGTAGTTAATGAATTATTTTAACCCTAGAATCCACATTGTGCCCATTTAAACAAACACACAAAATTACCAGACTCCATTAGAAACATAGTAGTAGAAAACACAAATATATTAACAGCATCCACCTGTAAAAAAGACTAAAAATAATGGAAGCTTTAATAATAAAAAAGAAAAAGCCAACTCTTAACAATATTAACGACGAACAAAGCCACAATGTGCTAACCGTATTCGGAAATTAAAACATCCCTACCACACACTAAGACATACACATAATGCACACACTCAATTAAGCTGAAAAATCGAATCATCTTTGATAATGGCTAAAGGTATAGCCGAAAGAGCTCGGAAATATTAAACATTTGGACAGTTTTTACACACGCTTTGTCCAGAAAAGAAAGCTCTTGTTAGAACACAAGAAAAATTAAATAAAAAGCTTAACCGTAGTACCTTGTCTGTCGTTTTAATGAACCATGCATATATATATATATAGAGAGAGAGAGAGAGAGAGATATATATATGTTGTAGCTTACCTATGGACAATAATGGGTATATCCTCATTCATATAAATACTGTATGTTCGTCTGTAGTTGGAGATTCGTCTCCAGCTGTGCTGCTCAAACTCTCTGCCTCCGAACAGAGAGGATACCCTGACGAGGCTCTATCAAAGGGCAGAGTCTCGTCTCGGGAAACAGCTACCCGAACCCGATTTCTACAGCGTATACGCGGAATTTTTGGCCGATATTACGGGCTCGGCTACCGCAAAATAAATTCGGCCTTATGCCACATCAGACTGCGTGGTCGGTTACTAGATATCACGCAGTAAGGGATTCATTGTGGATTTCACTTGACTTACTTCTAGCAGTTGATTACTACTTCTACGCGCCGCTGGCAAATCTTGTATGTGTTGTTCGTGTCCTATGTATCATCGTTCATTACCAACCTTCGTTTGATTATTCTATTCAGTAACCTTCCCTAGGTTACAACAATATATATATATATATATATATATATATATATGACAGACTACAACTGTTAGTTTCCTTCGTTATAGTCACGCATTCGCAAGCACTCGGCTGATGAATGCGTGACTACCACGCAGGAAATTCACTGTCGTAATCGGCAGATCTGCACGAGGAAACTATGACTATAATTTGGTCTCTCTCTTATCTCATATATATATATATATATATATATATATATATATATATATATATATATATATATATATATATATATATATATATATATATGTGTGTGTATATATATATATATATATATATATATATATATATATATAAAGTAGACACTTAAAGCCATTAAACAGGGTGTCATCGCAGTATGTTGCCTTCAGTGTCTACTTTAACATACGCTACATCCTTGATATTGATCCCTCCAACCCATAAATATAGCATACCTTACAACTATATTTTCTTATATATATATATATATATATATATATATATATATATATATATATATATATATATATATGCATGCACACATGTATAGATATATATTATGACATCGTGTTTCTATTGAGACATGTTTCAGTGAATAATTTTGACAAGTTTTGTCAACTTATGTTCAGTTAGATGTTTTCATATTCACGGGCAAGCTATTTGGTGTCATTAGTAATGGAAGAGCGAAAAGTACTGTAATGTTACCTATTAATTATTCCGAGTACTTTTGACATTAGCGCAATGTCATCATCAGTGTATTGTTCATTTCAAGACAAATACTGTAGTCTTCATCATTTTCAAAGACAAAATTGCTGCGTTCATTTGAAAGTTATTTTTTTACTTGTGAAGAATGCTAAGTATAGTTCTGAGGTATTACCTTGTGTAACGCTTTAGTGGAGGTAACTAAATTATGAGATTGTGGAGAGTTTTTTTTTAAATAAGTATTAAAAACTATTAATACAAACTTCGATATTTTAAACTCTAAATATTTATAATATTTGTGCAGTATTCATAATTAATTTTATTATGGTTTAGTTCCAATTTTTTATATAAATATCTTCAATGATTTTTAGTTTAAGTTTATTATTTTCATGGAAATGTATAGATGTATTGTCAACAATTTTTTTCTGAATAGAGAATAGGTATGCTGTTGTAAATGTTTAAAAATGTTGGATGCGTCATTCAAATGAAAACACAGCCGCCGTGAAAACGTAGTCGTAGTGTGGCCAACATAAACTTTTTTTCTAAAATTATTCAATGAAAAACACACACACACACACACACACACATCTCTCTCTCTCTCTCTCTCTATATATATATATATATATATATATGAATGTTTGGTCTATCTTTAGTTTCAGAACTGAAGCAATCGTGCCACCATAATAAGTCTCCTTGCTTGGAATGTGTATATATGCCACCGCGTGGGGGGCAGTATTCCTTCTCCTACTATTTGCCATAGGAAGTCGGAAGAGGGTGAAAATAGGCTCTTAAAAGTTCGTTTTTTTAGGGCGATATATATTAGGTTTTCGCTGATCCTGATCTTTCATTTGTTATTTTAGTCATTTAATTACGTTATTTCATATTATATTTATCCATTTATGTTTTTTAGTTTATTTTTATTGACACCTGTACTTTTTCGACTTTTACATATTCAATTCGTAGTTTGAATCCGGACATTATTCTTTTAATAACAACGAATTATTCTTTTTATAGCTGTTAGCGTTTTCTTATCACTTTCTTTATTACCGTGTCTAAGAGTTCGTGCAGTTTTTTTATGTCTGCCACCCACACGGTACCATCTACATATTTTATGTTGTTGAAACTGTGTCTTAGAATTGTTTCGATGTTGAATAAATCCGTTGAGACATACCATTCCAGCTCTAATATTCTTTGTTTCCAAGAATTTTAGCTTCCATAATTCTGTTAATAATTCCTGTACTAATTCCTATTTCTGTTACACCCACTCTGTCGTGTGTGTATTACAAGATAGTTAAATCAACGGATGTGCTTACTTTTCACGACCCCAAAACGTATATCGGGTATGTGTTGTAGCCTTGTTAGGGCCAGAAATAAAGACACAAAGAGAGGAAGTGAATGAAACACTTGCTAACCATGACACCACGTCCAAGTGTCCACAGCTCTAACACCCCACATATATATTGTTGTGGCCTTTTTAGGGCCAGAAATAAAGACACAAAGGGAGGAACTGAGTTAAACAAATGTATTAACAAAAACAGTAATAGAAACATATACAACCGAGAGTGTTACAGCAAGAATGTTCGGTCCGACTGTCAGGGCTGACTGCTGGAAACTTTCTCTCTCCAAGAAGGCAGTACCTGCTCCTATTCATACCAGAGAGAGCCCATGCCTGCATGGATAAATTACCATGACAGTATGCATTCTTCCTTATTACTGTCTACATTTTAAAAATAAACGCTTGTAAGACAAACAATGGAATAACATCTTCAAGGTCCCCTGCTGATGTCTTAACTATTATCATGTATAGAATTAGTGAAGCTTGATAATAAAAAATCTCTTGGGAGTGATCACACTAGACAAGATGCGGCACAGAGGATTTCTATACAAAACTGACCAGCTATGGAAACAATGGTAGGGTCCTTTCAGTCTTTCCTGTCAGTCAGGACTATAAATCCCCCAGTAGCAGATGAGATGAATATTGGCGTCTCAAAGAGACACACACACACACACACACACACACATATATATATATATATATATATATATATATATATATATATATATATATATATATATGTGTATATATATGTGAAAAGTGTATATAAATATAAATAAATATAAGTATGTATAATTATTTATATATTATATGCGCGGTACTTATATATTACTTATGCGCTCAATATCAGAGATAGAGCTAACCAAATATATATATATCCAACAAATATATATATATATATATATATATATATATGTGTGTGTGTGTGTGTGTGTGTGTGTGTGTACCAAATGCCGGGCTCCGGCTCTGTGCTGGTAGTATCACGCCTATGACTAGATTAGACCAGCTCTAACTAGCTTGGACAAGCTATGACCAGTTAAGACCAGCTTAGACCAGTGGCCCGATTAAAAACACTCAGGTTCCCCCGTTAAAAACTGACCTTGTGTCACATCCTTACTCAGTGGGGCGTCAGTATATATATATATATATATATATATATATATATATATATATATATATATATATATATAGAAATAAATCCTAATGAGCCAGGTACTACCTACTTAGGTTTCACCATATGGGCTCATCAGGGTGAACTGGCCAGTTCAGCTTGATTATCCTATGTGGTGAAATCTAGGTAAAGTATCTGGCACCTTAGGATTCATTCATTTTATTTTTGCTCTACTTAGTATATTGAGCACTCTTCGTTTAACTTATTACTCGCTGTTTTTTTTCTTTGTACCAGCGATTTAAGGTACTGGGCGATTTCTTTCGCCCTGTTTGGAGATTTTAAGTGCTTTGTTGTTTTTTTTTTTTCCATTTTCCTCTTGTGATAATTTATTTGAAAATTATGTATCCAGTTTTTTCACACACCGAGTCTCAATATATTTACATTACACACAAACACAGACACACACACGGACACACACACACACACACATATATATATATATATATGTGTGTGTGTGTGTGTGTGTGTGTGTGCGTGTGTGCGCGTGTGTGTGTGTATGTATTGCAGTGAATGTAAATTCTAACGAACTTGTTCTCATAAGTTCTTTCTTTTTAATTTAATATCTGTCATAAATCTCAATCATATTTATTGAATTAAATTAAATTGTTTACATAGAACAGAAATTTTGTTTTAGACAGGTATAAACACGGTGAGATAGATAGGTAGATAGATAGATAGATAGTGAGCACTTTATATGCGAAAAACAGATACATAGAATCATAATAAGCTAGATATACACAAATGTGATAGATAGATAGATAGATAGATAGATCAGTGATGTAGCTTTCGGAAGAAATTTGTTTTACTACGTGTTTGTGTAGACGAAAGAGGATTAGTTATTTAGCTATGACGAACACTTCCAGCAAGTGGTCCGAAAGTAGGTCACCAGTTCACGTCAAAAGAATCTGCGGAGACAATCGGATATAAAAATACAGTAAACAGCATATGACTCCAATTCATTAAAGAAGAAAATGACATCCGATCGATAGACAAAACATTTTTTTGGAAAAAAAGAAAACAGTACTAGCTTATATCATTACAATATTTGAATGTTTTTTTTTTTGTTTTTTTTATTACACACATAAATAATATGAATAATATGTTTATTTGGATGTGTTAGCAAGCTGACATGCAAGGTAAACAGAAATTGGGTTTCTTTTCAAATCTAAATAAATTTAAACATAGAGAAAAATATCTGAAATAATTTTTAATTTTCTATTGGTTATAGGGACGTAATTCTTCATATAACGTACACAAAGAGACGATCGTCTGTAAAGAGACGTAAGGCTGAAAAGGGACGTAAGGCTGAAAAGGGACTTAAGGCTGTAAAGAGATATGAGGCTGAAAAGGGACGTAAGGCTGAAAACGGACTTAATGCTGTAAAGAGACGTGAGGCTGAAAGGGACGTAAGGCTGTAAAGAGACGTAAGTCTGAAAAGGGACGTAAGGCTGAAAAAAGACGTAATGCTGTAAAGAGACGTAAGGCTGAAAAGGGACGTAAGGCTGTAAAGAGACGTAAGGCTGAAAAGGGACGTAAGGCTGTAAAGAGACGTAAGGGTGAAAAGGGACGTACGGCTGAAAAGTAACGTAAGGCTGTAAAGAGACGTGAGGCTGTAAAGAGACGTAAGGCTGAAAAGAGACGTAAGGCTGAAAAGAGACGTAAGGCTGAAAAGGGACGTATGGCTGTAAAGTGACGTGAGGCTGAAAAGTAACGTAAGGCTGTAAAGTGACGTGAGGCTGATAAGGGACGTAAGGCTGTAAAGAGACGTAAGGCTGAAATAGGACGTAAGGCTGTAAAGAGATTTGAGGCTGAAAAGAGACGTAAGACTGAAAAGGGACGTAAGTATCCAAAGACACGTAAGGCTGGAAAGAGACGTAAGTCTGAAAACTGTCGCAAATCTGCAAAGAGATGCACGTCTGCAAAGAGATGTAAATCTGGAAAGAGTCTTCTAAGGGATACAATTTTGCTAAGAAACGTACGTCTACAAATAGACGTAATGCTGCAAATAGACTTATGTCTACAATGCGACATAAGTATGCAAAGAGATGTGCGACTGCAAAGAGACATAACTCTACAAAGAGACCTAAGGCTGCAAAGAGCTGTAAATCTGCAAAGAGACGTACGTCTGCGAAGTGACACAAGGCTGTAAAGAGTCATACGTCTACAAAGAGTCGTAATCCTTCATTATGTTGCGTTTACAAAAAGACGCAAGGCTGCAAGGCGACGATTATCGGTAAAAAGATGCAAGTCTGCAAAGAGACGTAAGGCTGCAAAGAGTCGTATACTAAGAGTTTCTTTTCTCGCACTTCTCGCTTGTGGAAATCTCTTCCAGCTTCTTGCTCTTCATTTAAGTTTGATTTTCAAAAATATAAATACAATGTCAATCGCTTTTTTCTCTCTCTCCTTAATTCCTGTTCTTTTATTGTTCTCTTTCCTTAATAATCCTTTTTTTCGTATATTCTTTCAAACTCAGTAACCCCTTATGTCTTAGTGGCTTTATTGCCTTATTCAGCTGAAATGATTAAAAAAAACTGCTGTTGTGACAACGATACATTTTCGCTACAAAAGAATTTCCACTGATCTGCTAAAAAAAATGATAAGCAAGCAACAAACATAAAATAAAAATGAAAGAGTAAAGGAAGAAAAAGTGAAAAAGTTCAAGCAAAGAAAGAAAATTAAAAAAAAAGTGTCAAGTTAACAAATAACAAAGGTGTCTGACGGAAGGCAGGAAAGGGGAGATAATCGATTGATCAGTCATCTCCAGGTGTCGCCTCTATCAAAACGCTACGTCTTTTGTCACTTTTCGATGTTACTCTAAGGGAGCAATATGGCTGCCGCAAACGATTCAGTTGTCACACGCTGCATAAATTGTTTGAAGAGGACAAAAGGAATGCATTTTTCTTTCTTGCAAAACAGAAAGACATTGTCGCTTGGGCTGTTCTCGAGTATCGATCATGAGTCGGCGCCACAAAACCTCAATAAAATTCAACCACTGAAGAATCTGTCAGTGAGTGAATGGGAGACATTACTTGTTCTTTTTTCTTCTTTTTCTCAGTTTCTGACGGTTTGGCAACAAAAAAAATTAGACGACATAGATTATTATCAATTCAGACATAGAAGAGTGTTCCATTTATATGCTAACTTATATCTGTCTATAAATATGCTGAATTTTGTTCCTTTTTTTTTTACAATGATATACACCATTTACAAGGCCCGGGAGTCATTCGAGGTAGAGGGTTATTGAGTAATAGATATATTTTATGTGTATATGTGAGGACGATAACAGCTATCCCTAGACTTAAACAAATTAATATTTTACTGATCGGTGAGTGAATGGGGGACATTACTTGTTCTTTTTTCTTCTCGGTTTTGACGGTTTGGCAACAAAAAAAAAAAAAATTAGACGACATAGATTATTATCAATTCAGACATAGAAGAGTGTTCCAATTATTTGCTAACTTATATCTGTCTATAAATATGGTGAATTTTGTTCCTTTTTTTTTTACAATGATATACACCATTTACAAGGCCCGGGAGTCATTCGAGGTAGAGGGTTATTGAGTAATAGATATATTTTATGTGTATATGTGAGGACGATAACAGCTATCCCTAGACTTAAACAAGTTAATATTTTACCGATCGGGAAACATCAACTTGGGAGTCGGTTCCACGAACAAGTGATTCGTGGGAAGTAGCTGCTCGAGTGGAACTTACATCTCGCCAAAGGAATATGAAGAGAATGACGGTGATTTGCTTCAATGTACTTCGCATGGACGGCCTTAGCCGGGAAGTTTAGAACTCGGGGAAATAAGGAATCTAGTTCGTCTGAAATAGCGATAGAACAGTGAAGGACTTGCTAAATTTTGTCTCTAAAAAAAGGTGTTGTAGTGGGGAAATAATTTGTCACGCACAAGGACTAGGAGACGCTTTTGGACTCTATCGTGACTGGAAAGATAAGCCTGTGCAACTCCTGTTCATATACTTCATTTTTAGCCTGATTTGGCTCTTGTAACGGTAGAAGATATCAGGAGACAGATACTTATTAAAACGGTACTAACAACCGACAATTTTTTTCAGCTTTTTAGCGATGGATCGTATGTACGAGTTCCACTACAGGTCTCAGTAGGTGCTCGAGGTACAGGGCCTCTCTGAGGAAATATCCATTCATCGTGATTAGTGATAGTTCAGAGTTCGATCGGTGATGACGAAAGGCAACTAGTTTGTTTTTCGTGTCATTGTAGGTAACCAACCAGTTTTCACCCCTTCTGAGATGTTAGAGCTCGGTCAGAGGAGAGATCAGCTACCAATCTTTGGTCGTCTCGGGTTTTGGAGGTTCACACATATACCGTCTATCATCAGCATAAATTATATGTGACGAAATATAATATGAAAAGAAGAGAGATTGTGAGAGAGAGAGAGAGAGATTGTGTGAGTAACAGTGAGAGGGATAGGAGATAGGGCGTTTTTAGGCAATTCCATATACATACATATATATATATATATAATTATTTATTTAAAAATTATAACATAAATATGTTATAAAATCACTACAAAAATAGCCATTTTGTTTCAACACCTCCGGTGTCTTATCAAGTGTGTGTGTGTATAATCATTTATTCGAAAATTATAACATAAATATATTATAAAATCACTACAAAAAGAGCCATTTTGTTTCAATACTTCTAGTGTCTTATCAAGCGATGTTGAATGTAGACTAAATGTTTTTTTTTATATTTGCTCTACTGTGTATTGAGCACTCTTTTAAGAATAGTATTTGTTGGTTATTGGAATTTGGAAGACATTTTTTATATTTATACGTTCTTTTTATAGATGCAAATATTTGAGTAAATAAAAAATGTCTTAAATAATTGTCAGACTTTGTCCATTTCATAGTGTATGCCGTCATTTGTTTACATTTGGATACGCGTCGAGCAGATATGAATGTATGTGAGAGAATCACGGACGATTGTAGTTTAAAAACAGTAAAATCGACCTTACTAACCGAACGCTCCTCTGTGGCCCAATCGATTAAGGCACGTCAGGCTATATGACGGTTCCGTATAGGATACAGATTCGATTCCTGTCAGAAGATGCATATTTTCTGTGAGAATTTCTCGGACATTCAGACCGGTAAATGTCGTTAATACTGTTTATTATGAACAAAGCATTTACTTAAATATTTGTATTTATAAAAGAAGGTAAAAACATAAAAACTGTCTTAAATAATTGCCAGATTGCTCCATGTCATTATATATATATATATATATATATATATATATATATATATATGTGTGTGTGTGTGTGTGTGTGTGTGTGTGTGTCCAAATGTAAAAGAACGAAGAGTAAGTTTTCAGCGTTCAAAGCATTAATTTAAAACAGAGTTCAGTACATAAGTAGAGCAATAAATATTTATTTAGCATGCATTGTTACATTAGAACATGCACATATGCACTACAAAACTGTGCATCTTGTTTCAAAGTTAAAAAAAACGAATTTTTTTTTTTTTAACGTTTCATCAGGTGGGTAATCAAGATGCGACTGAGATATTTTATTTAGAAATGCAGTTATCGAAGCATGTATTCCACTTCCGTTATTAGGAAGTTTCCTATAAAAGGTATAAAAGAATTTACATGCGGAGAAAAAAAGAAATCTAAGTGATTAGTAACAGCAAGGGGGAGAAAAAAAGTGGGGTGGGATGGAGGGAGGTGGTATATACTAAAAAGGGATAAATCCAGCCAATGGAATTCCGTGGAATCGAAGAATTTGAACTTTAACGGTCTGCTAGCTTATTTAGGATAATGTTTCTAAAGCGAAAACATTCTGTGCTCGGAGATAATTCTTAATGGAATGTGAAAGAGTACTACAGTATTTTATGAAACGGACTTTTTAATATATTATTAGAATACTAAACTGACTTAAAATCTTTATATTGCCATATTTATTATACTTAACTAAATTTTACTTTACGATATGAATTAGAATACTAGATATATTTTTAAATTTAGTATTATATAGTGTCGGAGTTAGCTCCTGCTTAGCTCCTTACCTTTCACCAGGGGTCTCTCTTCCCTGTCTATAAATACTAGCTGACCCTGTGCCTCTTTCTCTTTTCCACCAGACCTTCAGCCTTACAACCTCGCAGATGTGAGCTCTCACAGATACAGCGTTTCCCAAATGCTGGGAACACGCTAAGAACAATACACGTATGTATGAACACTCACCACAACCCACAAATATAATATTCACCACACGCACTCTGTCCATGTAACTGTCCATGTAGCTTGTAACCTTTCTTGTTATTAATACATATATTTGTTTACATATATTTATCGGTCTTGTGTTTATTTTTCTTTACCTTCTTTGGACTTAATTAAAGTGCGACTTTCTCATGTAGTTGGACCGGCTATCAGGAAAATCTTAACCCACATGTGTTCTTCAATTTCTACTCAATAACATCGCCGACACGGTCCTTCACAATGGAACCATTAATAAGCTGCAAATAAAGAAACAACTCTGTCACCAATGGAGACGCTTGCAATGAAACGGCACGTCGCGGCACAATCGTGACGTCATTTAGTTGCTGACGGTGTGTCTTTATTCGCCAAGGCCAAACGAGATCCGTACCAATTTGAAAAGAACTCCAGGCGCTACATTCACGTTAAAATGCCGAAATTGTGAAATTCTCCTGCCTCTTTAGACATCTTTGAAAGCAACTTGCGCCTCTTGGTTGATATTTCGATGTCGTAAATATCTTCCGATTTCTTTTGGGCTTAATTTATTTTAATAAGGAAAAAAGATATTGATCCTTTTGGGTCGAGAGGTGTGTCTGCGTTACGGAAGTTTTTACTTTCAAACTCACTTTAAACGTTATTTTTAATGGTTAGCCATATTTGAATAGATGTGATGTTGATTTACTAAAGATTATATTTATTTCTTTTCGTCTAGCGGCCTGATTATTCGAGAAATATTATTAAAGAGAAATATGGGTTCTACGGCAAAGATTCGACGTGACCGAGTCGGTTAAGGCACGTCTGATAGAACGGTGGTTTTCATTTGGACAGGGAGACACGAGTACAGATTGAAAAATGATCGAAATCTACTGGATTAATAAATAAAAAATCCATTACTGCTCTATATATACTTATATATATATATTT